CAGTTTGTTCAACTTTGTTAATTCATTATTTTTTCCCCAGAAATTCAAGATGTGCATCGAAGCTCCACCTCAAAGAAAACATATGGTATTTATAGGTGGATCGGTTTTGGCAAACATTATGAAAATTGACCGACGTACTACATGGTTAACTCGTGCTGAATACGAAGAAAAAGGCTTAAAAGTATTAGAAAGACTAAATTACTATAAATAACACTATCATGACCACCCCGTGTTGATTACAGTGGGATATATACATACTGATTAACCTTGCCAATTTAGGCTAACTTGCCTTCGCTCACGAATTAACTGTAACTTGTATGTTTGTTTTTCTCTTCTTTACTCAGCACATTTTTTTTACATTTTTTCTACCTGGTTTGTATCCGTCTATTTCTAAGAAATCCAAATAATTTACTGTCAGAAGTTGATTTGAAAAAAATTCACTTCACATGGTATTCGTGATTTTATATATATATATATATACAGAGAAGATATACAAATCAAAGAGATTATTTTTATTGTTGATACACTGCAACTGTAGTGCAAAAGTGATTTATAATTGAGCTGAAGTAAATACTGCATAATTGTTTGTGGTGCTTTCATTATTTTAATAACTTTTTTTCGAAAAAAGGAAGATTTCGGGAAATAGGAAATCTTCTTGTTACACAGAAATGTTATAATTTCTCTAAAATTGTAATCATGTATTGTTTCTTCATTTTTTTGAAATAATAACTCGTATATATTCTGTAACATTATTTGTTTATTGTTATCTTTAGGGTGTGCGCATAGCTGTGTAAAAATGATCCATTAATCATCACTCCATTTGAATAACTAAACACTTAACAACATAGACCGATCCTAACTTTCACCTGTCAGTGGATTTACAACTGTTGATTATTTATTATTCGAAAGTTTTAGATGGTTAGAGTTAATGGGGAAGAAAACCCTACGCAATAATTGTGAGAAATAGTGGGTAGCGAACGCAAAAGAGCGAAACAACAGCGACAATAAGTAACAGCTAAAAAATATCCAGACTTATCAAAAAATCAGGTATTGAAATTTCGGTTGTTAGTGAGACTATATCGGAAAGGACTGGGACTGTCATTCACCCAATGTAGAAGATTGGACTGGTGAGCAAAATACTCTAGGAGACAGTTCTACTGGACTTCAATTATTCACTATTTCTGAGTAATTTAAATGACGATTTGATGAAAGTCCTTCAATTCGTAGTGAGGTTGAAAAGGCAGTAGGCAATGTAAGGCGAGGGAGAGCACCATGACCTGATGGATTAACCCCGAAGATTTTTAAGGATGGTGCAGTTTTAGCAGTTAGATTAAATGAGACAGAATCTGGGAACTGGACGTAATCTCTTATGACTGGTCTCCACCGCTGATCGTCCCAGTCTGTAATAAGAGACAAAAATCCTCCTATCACAATCACCAAGGATTCAGTTTGATCAGTATAGTGTTTAAATTACTAACACTGATGATCCTTTAATGCTAACTTAGGGCTCGTAAAAAGCGAGCTCTTGGAAACAAGGCTGGTTTCAAGCCCGGATATGAATGTGTAGACTAGGTAATAACTCCTGCTCGGGTTTTAGAAAATAGACGTACTTACGGACACCCAGCTATAGCTGAATTTATCGACCTTGAGACAGCGTTCAACTCTGTTGACAGAGGTGTTTTGTGGTATTTTTTGTCTTTGAAAGACATCAAAGAAGTACATCAACCTCTCTACTCGAAAACTAATGATCGAGCCAGCTTATGGCGATGTGTCATCGGGACTAATTACTTCAAGCGATGTTCATCAGAGTTATTCGCTTTCCCCATTTCTATTCAATTTGATTATAAACATGCTTTTAGAGATACGCAAATGTAGTTCTGTTTAGTGAAGTTGATGACAAAATGCAGTCTTCTGACCACATTAAGCAAAAATGCAAGCATGTTTGGGATGCGATTCTCTCCCCAAATGCCAAATATTACTTCAGGATTGGCCTGTGTCAGCTGAATTAATGATAGGGAGTGAAGCAGTTGAACACATTAACCGCTCCACTTTTCTTAGGAGTCTCATCAGTCCTGACGGCCAAGTGTCTGACGAAATCTCGGCACGGATTTAGGAGGCTCAATTGGCTTTCGCCAACTTGCGTCTCTTGTGGCGTAGGCGAGATATCAGTCTTCCAATCAAGAAGAAAGTTTACTATGCAGCAGTTCGCCCCGTTTTACTTTATAGATCTGAAACATGATCATTAACAATAGAGGATATTCGTAGGTTACTGGTATTCCATCATGTGTCTACGAAGCATTGCTCGGGCATTTTAGGACCGCGGAGTAAGCAATGCCTGATTTTGGAATAGAGAACTAGGTGAAGATGGGAAATCAATTGATGAGGGACCTGCTTAACGTATGCCTAGTCGCCGCCTACTTCGACGGGAGATGTTTTCTGATGTAGTAGACTGGAGGAAAGGCAAGGGTGGCCAAACCAAAACGCCTCATAAGTCCATGATGTAATTGACAATTGGAATTAGCCACGTTAATAGCTTAGACCACCTGGTTGGTATCCGCGTGATTATCATAACCAATAAAGACTTCAAATGACGCGGCTCAAAATCGTTTACAATGACGCAGGTGCATCCATCTGCATGGGTTATTTATTTCACTAATTTAAATTTTCTTGAATCTTATCTTCAATGCCTAGCCTCTTCTATTACCACTAATACTGTTACTTTCTCTATTACTCTGGGATTTTCTCAAACAATTTCATCTTTTTGCTAGTGGGGTATGTCAACATGGACCAATATACATACGTACCGGGTTCTAGGTTGCAACTGACTGACTGATTAGTAACATAATAACAAAAGAGGTGTTTAGATTCACTTGGTATTGTTTACTTGAATCTTCCCACTAATGATGAAGACTGCAATTGATTAGTCTCTTATTGGCATATGTGCATACTGTGCGTATTGCCTCGAAATTGCCTTAATTCACAAGCATTATAAGCAAATCTGGATAGTAGTCAACAGTGGAATCCAGGACGCGCGTTTCGTCCCATTTGGGACTCGTCAGCCGAATGTACCTGCATCTCAGAGTCGATGTTCATTCTGGGACTCGAACTCAGTGTGGTGTGTGCTACTTATGTAGACATAAGTAGTATATGACGTGAGTACTGAACAGAATGTCTGGCAGCAGAGAGACGAGAAAATCGAACAATAAAGAATGCAATTTGTATGGAAATGCAAGAACAAAGGGATTCTGAGTCATTTGAGACAATTGATGAACAATTTGCAAATTAACGATTTAATATATGGTGGTTGGATTTTACTAACTAGTTCTGTAATTTGTTGTTAAATACATCCGACTGTCCCCATTGGTGTTCTTGTTCAATACACCAGTACCGTTCGCTTCAAACGCTATAGCGTTATCCCCTTAGCTGATGAGTCCTAATAGCCACTTGCTTGTGCAATGGGGTGAAGTTTAAATTCACCTGATATTGTTTACTTGAATTTTCCTATTGATGATTAGGACTGCAATTGATCAGCTAAGTGGATAACGCTATGGCGTTTGAAGGGAACGGTACTGGGTTCGAGTCCCAGAATGAACATCAACTCTGAGATGCAGGTTTATCCAGCTGACGAGTCTCGAATAGGACGGATCGCGAGTCCTGGATTCCACTGCTAGCCACTTCTCGTGCTGTAACTTCTTTTTTCATGAATATTTGTCCCATATCCAATATTGTTTAAGGCAGACTAATATATATTGTATATGCTACTTGCTATAATTTTATCAAGTATTCATTCGTTTGTGATGAGAAATTTCAATGATTATTAAATTGTTTATACATTGGTAGACGCTTATTCAACTCAGTTATTAAGTATAGACCAACGTACTTGGCCGTCATTCACACTCCAAGTCTATGACCTGATGATACTACCCGGTAGCCCAAAATGAAGTAGTTGCAGAGGGTTGTAGACCTGTGACTTAATAGCTGGAAGTCGAACATCTGGACCACTGGTAAGTGCTCTGTATATTACTATGCATTTCTCGGTTAATTGTCTGTGAGATGTTTGTATTTTATTTAAAACTATATCTCTGTTAACACCTACATTATACAGAAGTTATTTTATCACAAGAAACTGTTCATACAAACAGAAATTACATGCGACTGAATTTTATTAAAACTCCTGTACGGAATACCTCATGTGAATTAGGATTATATAACTAGTTTTCTTTACACTTTCAAATCAGGGATGACATCACCTTTCATTTTTAAGAGACGTAGGAATCTTTACGACGTTTTTTCCTTGATCCTACACGACGGTAAACAAAAAGGCTTTGCCACAATAAACAAGACGATGTTACACTCATTCAACCCCATCTACAGCAACATAATAAAATAAAGTTGAGTAAACGACCGTTGAAATATCAAAAACCGAGCGAACTAGACAAGGTGAGAAATATTTCAAGTAGGATATAAGCATTCATCAGTTCAAGAATGTAGATGGATTATTCACCTACCCGAATCAACTATCCAGAAGCCAATGATGAAAAATGTCTGTTGTACGTATATGCTTTTCGGGTATTAAAGCTTACTAAAGAGTCTTATCTTTCCCCTCCCTCAAGCTGATAAAGCATTAGGTGTGTGTACATTGATAGTTGCTAAACTAAATAGTAGATCAGATCAGGATTTGCTAACAAGTATAATGAGTAATGAGAAAGTTTATTCAAGCAGGCATCGCATTAATTGATAAACAGAGATAATAAAATAAAAAAAAAATAATCTATCGGTTAAATGCATTGCAATCGACTTCCATTCTTCTAATTGAAATCTGATCACCATTACACCCGAAAATTTCCCTTGCCTCACATTATGAAATGTAATTTTTAGAAAAAGTACCTAAATCCATAAAAAGCATCGTGAGAATGAAAAAAATGTAAGACTAAAAACAAAGATTACACACTCCAAGTCAATTTCTCTCATTTTTTTGTTCCAAAAAGGAATCATTTCTTCTATTCCAAACACTCCTTGTTACATGACAAAAATCTCTTAGCATGTTCCAAAGCTTCTGATAAATTTAGGAATTTTCTGTGATGGTTTGACGATGATAGTGAAATTGATTGTTTATCATTTAATCGTTGATGAATAATACTTTGTTGAACCCATTTAGGTAATTGTGATTGAATAGTTGAACGATAGTACCGATTATCCAATAAGAAGACAACAGCATAATCTTTTGCATGTCGTATAGATCGACCAATAGCTTGATTTATTAAACGCATACACATTGTCTCATAATATTGCCTACCTGGATTTTGTGTAGATTGGGAATCACGAATGAAATGTTTATCCAAATACGTCATTTTTTCTCTTAACTAGAAAAATAGAAAGGAAGTTCATCAGTGAATGTCATCAGATAACAAATAAATCAATGGTTAAATATTTTTAGAGGGTTTCTTATATAATTTAACCCCATCGCCCAACCATTATTGTGTTCTACAATTCGATCCGGTACTAATACGCACTTCTCAAATCAGTGACAAGTCGAATATGTGGAGCGAGTAAATTAAGACTGGAAATTTGATATGAATGTACCATACAAATATTTAGTACTTATGCGTTTTGTCTGACCTAGACAAGGATATATATGCGATAACCTTGATCAAACGAACAATTCACTTACATCAGGCCACCTCAACTTTTATGTATCAGGTGGCCCCACAAGTGTACATAAGCCGTTCGGTATCGCTTGACATCAGTCTAGCGTTTCTATAGTGTCTTTAGAATCTAGATCAGGTATCAATTAAATACGTATGTAATATTTATAATGCATAGGTACCAACTGGGGAATATTATTGTAAGCCAGACAACACTGTGTGGCCGTTTCATCCTGGTTTGAGTAGTAAAGGGAAATTATGAGTTGTTCTTAGTGTATCACAAACTTTTTAAAACTTTATAATAATTACTTGTGAAACAATGAAGAAGATTAGTGGCTCAAATGGATGCTTCGCATGGTGTTATGTTATCTAGACTGAATGGTTAAAGTCAAATGCATCAATCAAATTACTTTTATGATTCCATTTAACAATTCAGCAATGCAAATAGTGCAGGAGTATACACTTCAATGAGGTATCATTAAACCTACAGTGCTAACAGTAATTGCAAACAATGAGGTTGAGGCAAATTTAGTAAAAGTTTTGTGGCCTCATGATTATACTTTATGTTCTAAACATCATTATCACTACATAATATTAAAGAAGAAATGCAGTTTTTAAAGAAGTGAAATTGACAGATTTAGTTTTCACAAATAATATACTCTATAAACTATACCTTATATCAGGATTTTTGTCTGTAAGAATCAAAATGACCAGGGACAGGTAAATGTTGGAAGCCACTACCATCGAATAGATTCCATGAAAGATCACATAACCTAAGGATTGTAACAGGTTTTTGGGCCTTATGGACTTTGGAATCGAGCAAGGTAAGTATGATATACCGAAGTATACTTATATATATATATATATATATATATATATATATATATATATATATATATATATATATATATATATATGCAATCAAATCAGAGTTATAAACTTACAATTGGGGACTGTGGGTTTGCATATGGCATGCCGATAATGATCACAACTCGAGCTAAATCATCTGTGAAATTTATTCCTTCACTCAGTTTCCCACCAATCACACATAACAAAAGGGCTCCATGTTTATGCTTCAGTTTTTGAGTAGCTGCTACTCCATAAGCTTGCATTATCTAAAATCTCAAAGCAGGGTTTTGAAAATTAAAACACCAATTAACCATCTTAGAATCAAATAAATTTCACATATTTTAAACAGACTACTAGTTTATGTAGTCTACAGGGTGGATTTTAAACATATGATTGAAATGTCTCTGGTGAATAGTGTTTGAGTCATCAGAATATCTCAATGAATAGTCTTCTATAAACACTTATGGGAGATTTATTACGATATATTCTAGTAAGACTTAATGTGTGCAGTGATCATGTGGGGATTAGTGATGGCGAAGCTATAATGTAAATTGGTTGGAGTTGTGAATATGAATCAATGAAAAGGGGACAATTTTCGCCATCAGAAGTGAAGTTTATTAATTTAGTTCCGCTCATAGATGTAAGTATGCACCATTGAGGAATCCTACAATTAAAATAAAACCATTGCCAAATGATCCTAAGTTTTTAGTCGTACATTTTAATGAATCTAAAAGAAACTGCATAGATAAATAGGCTAAATGGTTTGAATTTTCGCGAGAAACTCATGTTAAATTATTTGATTCGTATCAACGTAACACGAGACATAGAATGTAACAAGTTATGAATATCTATAAAACTTTTTATGAAAAACCACACTACTTTTGCACGACAAGTAATATAATGACACATACAGTATATTTCAAACCATAGATTACACAAATGGAAAATTTCTTACGAAATAGGATTTTACTTGGTGTGAAAGACTTCATGAAGTATATCGTCATCATTTGATACGCCTTTGGTGTCTAGGTAAGTGATATAGATCACATTTTCTTCACGTATAGTGGTTAACTAAGGTTTATCATTCAAAAATCAAACTGTATACAAAAATATTCTCTAAACCAATTACTTGAAATATCAGATAATTGATATTGTCAACGGAAAACCACGGCATTTAATTTTTATGATTGTTATTACGAAACTTAAAACCTAAATAATATTGTGGTATATTAATTGTGACTTTATTACACGGTAATAAAAGGTTTTTATAAAAATTTCCAGATAAACCTTTATGATAAATATGCATTTTATTGACACTTTAGAAATTTAATATAGTGTAAGGTTGTACAGAGATATATATTTCACTAGGGAACTAAATACATACTATCATTATTATTATTTCAGAAAATCTATTTAAATAAATACATTTATTCAACTGGACTATATCGTTTTACATTCGTATGGTAAACTATACTAAATGTGTAATTAAATAAATAATATATTTATAATATCCCAATGAGTAGAAAAATTAGATTTTCTGACGTTTTGTGACTTAATATAAGCCACTTCTTCAGAGAATAAATAACCAAATTAAAAATAATCCAAGTTTAAATAGTACAATGGAACAACAAGAAAAAAATAGGTCTGAATAAATCAAACCTTGGTAATGATACCTAAATTTGTAATTGTTTTACTACTTCAATTCTGTTAAATATTTGATTATCAATTTTCAAATAATGAAAAGGAGTGAATATATATTTAGTATATTAGATGTTAATAAATTTGGACCTTAATAATCGCAAAACGTTTTTTTTAATATTTTAATGTTTATCATTAAAAAAAATTTAATGAACGTGATGAAGAATTTACTTTCAACAAATATTGTAATTTTTCAAATTTGGTAAAAACAAACTATTATTATTATTATAAACATGTTATCACGTACATTCAATTGCAAACAGCTAGGTAATGTTCTATCAAAGTGATGTTTGTTAGTGTTGGATTTCTTTACAGATTCAAAGTGTGTTAGAAAATTTCAGATGACTGAAAATGTAAAGGTCGCAAACTTAATGACGACTTAATATTCGCAGTGAAAATGTACTAATATCTAAAATAAATTTGAATCTATTATTTTAATTCATGAGTCGATTAAATTTAAACGACCTTGGAAAACGTGGATGCACACTGCTGAGGAGTCTCATACTAGGAAGAAATGGTTTGGTGAAATTTTAAAGTTAGCTTCAATGATCAAGCTAAAAATGTACTCGTGATAAATTCCACATTTGTAACATGATGTGATCATGAGAAAATATTCTTCTGAGAGTTTCAAAACAGTTTAAAACAACTATCCAGTTTGCATTATTTCAAATAACTTCCTTTCATCTGACATTATCGACAATGTTTTAAATAATTATCAGGCGTGTTGTAGTCAAAATTTTTAGTGACTTTTCCGTTCATTTATTAAATAATTGATGGATATTCTAGTGTAACTTTCATCAGGGATTTCATATCAGGTTTCATATTTTGCTACTTGTGCTTTTTATGTAAGGTATACCGGTATTCGATATATTGAATATTATTCATAATAGACAGTCGTAAATAACTCGTCTATTGAAATGAAATATACACACTAATCTGCATCACTTACTCTATATGATAGGGAAATTCTGCAATTACTAAACATTTAAAATGTTTTAGACAGTTTCAGAGCAATTTTCTAATTGATGTCACCTCATGTGAAAATATGATTTGCAAATAGCGGATTACTAGTTTAGTCGAGAAAAACAGTATTCTATTTACAATGATAATATAACTAGTTTATCTCTTTTTGTACAAATATACAGCAAAACAAGAATATTGTTTTTGAAGCCTAAAGAAACAGAGAATATTAGGAACCACTACTTCATTGATATTGTAAGGTATGAGTGTATTTTCTGAAAAAAATTGGTTAAAGCTCTTAACCTCTCTATCCTTTTTACTCTACTAACCAATTATCGAAGAAAAGTTGAACAAATGAATGAAATATTAATTATCAAATTATAATATAAATCAATAAAAACCATTCACTTGTTCTAATTGTGTTGTTGTTTTCGGTTCATGAAAGAAACTTTTATACTTTGCTATTTTATTCAGTAAACCTGTCGCCTCCAAATGATTATGTAACATTGACTGATATTCATAAGATGGAGTAAACACAACAATTCCAGCTACAATGAGAACAAGAAAAATCATACATAAAGTTAGAGGTGAGTAACAATTAGGTAAAATAACATACAGGAGGACTACAGCCAGATTTAAGTAAATTGACCAAGTTTAACAAATACTACCTAGAAACGGTGAGATAAACTCTCAATCAATCAACTATTAGTAAGGTTTAGTGATATCTAGTTGGTTATAATCAAGACTGCTATATGTGCATTTTAATCGGTTCCCCCAAAATACATATGTATAAACATATTTATAAAAATAAATCAGTGGCTATTTGGACTTAGCAGCTGAATGGATAATGTTTTGGGCATTTGGAGCCAGTGGTACTAGGTTAGAATGACAATGAGGATGCCAAAACTGGGATCTAGGTATATCCATGTGAGGAGTCACGAATAAGATGAAACACGCGTTCTGAACTTTACTACCAGTCACATATTAATTGTGTTGAACCATTTAGCTAGTTTACAAGAATTTTATTATGTTGAGAAGCACTAGCAGGTTGTTTATTTGGCTAAATGTAATTACTGGATATCCCTGAACTGAAGACTCATGATGATTAACAGAAGAAACCAACAGAGGAATTAATGCTCTACAACAGGTCCTGAGGATGAGATCAGTGAAAATAAGGCATAACAGTGAATACAATTAATTTGTCAAACTGATTTAATCGGATAGATTAAAAGGTATAGAATTTTTGTAGATTATAGAGGTTAATATTCCGCTGTGAACAAAATATCTCATATTCATTGATTTATATAACAAAAGCTCAGAAAATATGAAAGATCCTTTAATGTGGAAAACTGATTAACTCCCAATGCTTATTTCTTAAACATGTTTTCACTATACGATTTCGGATACTTAAGTATATTTTATTTAAAAAATTACTATTGTTGATAATGAACTTGATAAAATCTTATGTCAGACACCGCAATATTGATGTGTTTAACTTAGGAATTTGATTGTACAGTTGTTAATCAACAGTAGTCGATTTACATTATGTAGAAGATAACATCACCAATTAATGAAAGCAAAAGTTTGTATATTCATTACAGTAGCTATTTGATCAGGATTGCTTTTCTTGGTTCAAAGTAACCCATAATAATTATACTAAGAAGGTACATGTATGATGTAGGGAGAGCGAAGCTGGTTGAATAGAATTAGGATATGAAGAACTGAATGAATAAGTGTATCAAATGAAATATTAACAAAGGAATATTTCAAACTGGCACAATATTAAAAATAGAATATAGAACCAAAACCTATCCAATACTGAAATTGTGTGAAGTCAACTGATTTATTAATTCAAAGGCTCATTGATTTTAAATTCAGTTTCAATTCAAGTTATTCGTCGACTTTAATAAGAATCTGAAATTTTGTACATTAAGTTTATTTTATATGCAAAAGTAAATTCCTAATTCTTGTAAGATTAGTTGATAGCAATGAAAGTCGTATCAAGATTACACAGTTCAGATGGTAATTTAAATTAGCGAAAACCAGAGCTAAAATTTATGCTATCCAGAGAAATATTGGATCTTCTCTTATTTCCCTCAACTCTAAAAAATAGATCTCCATTTAACTTGTTCTTTTAATAAATATGTAATCCGAAGCGATTCTACGCAAGAAATCAGCTATATAAATGTCTTTTTAAACAATCCAAAAATGTTATTAAAAACATCTAAACAATAACAGAGGCTCGTTAGGAAATTTGCAATTTCGAGGTTATTACATGATATATTCAGAATAAAATAATGCAAATATCTCAAAACATGTTGTTAACGTTAAAAAATTTACAAAACCTTAACTGATTTCAAATAATCCAATTCAGTAATGATATACAAATTAGTATGCTGGATATTTGATTCAAATGCCCTGGTACGGTTGAGAGTAGGGATTCCGCTCTCCCTCTCGAAATTCTCTCACATAGCCATGCGTATATAGCCTATGCCAGGGAAGTCCTACTCATTGCCTTCTCGTGGAAGAGGTTTTTTTTACGGAATTGAGAGGACGAAAAGAGAATGTCCGGCACTTTAACCGGGTTGATGGACACGGAGAGTCCACCTAGAGAAGTTGGAAAACCCTGATTCCAAACCAATGGTGCACATGAGCTCCAGTACCCTGAGGGAACGAATCCAGTATGAACCATCGTTGATCACCGACTACCATGGGACTACAACTCCTTATGATGCTCCACTGCCTTGTGGATCAGACCTTTATGTCAAAGGCTCAGGGTGTGGCCCCCTAAGAAAACCACCTGCTTCGGTATGGGCACCCAGGCAGTATCACAGCCCTCATACAAATCGAATGAGATTTGTGTGGCGCATATATGTATCTGGTGCCCCCTTGTACCAGTATTTATGTGTTCAAATAATAATAATAATAAAATACAACAAACAGTTGATATGCTTCTTATTCACAATTACTGAGGAAAAAAATAGTTAAACACACATTCAAACTACATTTAAATAACTTTAAACAATTTGATCATGAGAAAGTTATTGGTATACAATTGAATATTCTCAATTGGATATAAATTACGTTATAATCAGTCTCATTTTCATATGATACACACTTGAGCAAAAGCAATAGTTAGAATTGATTTAAACGTGACCAGTAAATACGAATTGGTCAAAAACAAAAGAGTTAAACAATTCAATAATTATGACGATTTTTTTCTAAACTAAACTAAATTTTATTTTTCTTATTAAAGATCAGATGATAATGTTATTGTACACATTCAATAATGGTAACTTTTTTTTAATTATTATTCGTTTCTTGTTTGATACAGAAAGAAAGTTTCAAGCCAATTGTTCTTAATATTCATCTAATATCAACATATTTATCATGATGTAGGAAAGATTATTTTGTGATACAATAGTCTATGATATTGGTTATGCTTTTAAGAAAAGTTTTTATTTTTATATTTCAAGATTAATAAAAACGTAATCGAAAAATAGATAATCAACACCGATGGATAATGCATGGATAGTTGAACAACACTGAAAAATTGAATGAGGTTAGTAATTTAATGGTAATACACTCAAAACAATATCAAAAGTCCGTAGATCCGATCACTAATAAGATCATAATTGTGCATTACAAAGGAGATCCATACTGGGACAAAACAATTGTCCAGTAGTTCATGAATTTCAAAGGTTGATTAGATAAGATCAGTTCGTACAATTCATTTGGATTGATATCCGTGACTCTATGTGTATATTGTCTCTTATTGTGATAACAAATCCCTTGGTAGTTACTGATGCTATGTTTTCTTTTCTCTAATGCTTATAGAATTATACTGATCAAGTTTCAATATGGTAATTAATTCGATTAACTCTACAGAATAGTGAAAGTCTCTTGGTGTTACGTGTAACCTGATTACAGTCATTGTTAGTAAGCTACATTTTGTTACATAAAAATGGTATTATTTACTAATCTCATGTTATAACGTGTGATCCGCCTATTAGAGAGCAGCCTATTATCGATCGAAACAGTGACGCACAAAATACGAACGAGCAGCCTAGAGCTCTGATTGGTCCTGCTTCCCTGTCTAGCCCAGCCAATTGAGTCCAGAACACAAGTCTCAGCCTCGGAGATATGAATCGTTATATTTCAAACATACACTGTTTATATACCAAACAAACAGACTACATCGTAACATAAATAGAAAGTAACATTTGTACAAGATTTAAACTTCAGGAAATGACACAAATAAATATTGACCAATAGGGAAATGACACGTTGGAAGAATGTTGACCAATGGGGAAATGACACTACTTCTCATTCAGGAATAGCATTAGATAATTTCTGGGGTATTTTCTGAATACCCCAACATCTCACTTAAAGACTTACTTTATATGGAGTAGAGAGTTAAATAAACAATTACACGGAGCTAAAACTTGTAGAATTACTACAACTATAGTCAAAAACGTACAGGCATTTAAAAACAGCTGTCTACGCAAGGTTATCCAGATCCGTCGGTCAGATACCATCAGCAACAACTTACCTACAGAACAAAACAGCTTCGAGCTGAAGAGTAGATTAAGAAAAGACTCTGAAGGTGGATAGGACACATATTGCCGATATAATCAAACTGGATGATAAGGCAAGCCCTAATTTGGAATACTTAAGGCAAATGGGAAAGAGACAAACCAAAGAACACATTGCGCCGGATATTGGAGGCAGACATCAAAAAGATGAACAAAACTTGGAAACAACTGGAAAGGAGAAACCAGGATAGAGTTGGCTGGAAATAGTTGGTTTGCATCCTGAGCTCCACAAGGGATAACAGGAGCAAGCATGTGAGTATCTTTGTTAACACTTTTATCTCTCAAATTAATCAAGAAGTAGAATTAATACACCTATTACAAAAAAAAACAAACAAAAGTTTCCAACTTCAATCAAATGTAGATGAAATACTTCTCTTTCATCAAGCGAATGCAACTCACCGATTACAAGTTTCAGTACGCAACTAGAAGTCACACTGAGATAACTTACGTACTTTTCGGTTATAAATCAATTGTTCTAACCATTAAACGATTGTGCTTTATTTTTGTCGGACTGATAAAAATTTCGTAAAGTTTGCTTTGATTATCTACCATAATTAACATCTCTTATTATCACGTAATACTTGAAAGTGGTAACCTCAATTGTGATGTATAAACAACCATTTGAAACTACCAAACAATTTATTCATCTTACAAATGTTTGTTTTAATTTTCACAACGAAAAATGAAAATAAAACAGAAATATATAATGTTCAGCACACTTCAGTTGTAAACGATAATTTACATAAGTTCAATTTGTGTCTCTCTAAGTCTGAATTAAAGTAAATGAAAGACTACTTTTATTGTACATGAAACACATGTGAACAATATATATAATTAAATTTCGGTCACACAATACAGGTTAGTCAAAAAAATAATCAATATATCTTGCATAAATGTAAAGACATATAAAACGAATACAGAGGATTTAATAATAATGTAATAATTTGAGGAGT